TGCATGTTAAAATAGCTGAAATATTGGATGAAGACATGGATCATTTTGTATATCTTGATCTCCCACCTTTCTACTTCTCTGTCTGCCCCTAGGTTTTAATATTATTAAGAAGAGAAGGAAATTTCATTCAGATAAAGATGTATCAATGTAGTTTTAGGTATGATTCAACAAACCAAAGTACTGCAGTTCAGGTTTGCAGACTGAATCAAGGATAGAGGTGAAAAATTATATAGGAGCAATAAAAATGAGTCTTCAAAAGACAACTAACTGCTTTATGAACAAATTGTGGGTTGAAAAGTAACTTTTACTTTAATTTTTTTTCTCCTTCAATAAAAAAAATCAGGTAATATATGCTAAGAAGCAAATAGTTTACTATTCCTGTTCCAATAATTTCTGCAAATCGAACTTTGAGGCATTTTAAATAAATTAAATATAAAATATTCATCTCTAAAGAGATTAGAAAATAAACAATAAATAACTTGTCCTATGTAAAATTTCATATAATAGGGCCAAACAAAAATAATACTCTTCAGACTTCCGGTTCGTCACATAGCCGCCATGGACGGTTGAGAGACTTGCTCTCTCTCCCCTGTTCAGTTTCGCATCGCTGGGGGGCCCTGAAAAGGACCGAAAGTCACCCCGAAAAGGCGACCAGCAAGGAGGGGCTTTCGCAGCAACTCTTCCGTCAGACCAGGCAATCCCTCCAAACTGGTGAACAAAAGGACTGGCCATAGAAATATGGCTCGTCCCTAGGCTGCAAACAGCCAAAGTCACACTACCATCTGGCAACTTCAAAGCAGCATGGACAGGACTGGGTGCGGTTTGCCTCTCTTACATCCTAACTATTTAATTACCTGCATAAGCTGCTAAAATACTTTCCCCCCTGTGGTGAGGGAAGGGGGATTCTAGCCCTCCCTCCAGAAACAGCAGCTATCAACTACTTGGGAGTTTAAAATGTTGGAAAAATACTGAGATCTTAACTGGAATCCTATTTCCTAAAATTGGTGGATTATAAGATTTGCAACTTTCTCCTCTCTCTATATATATTTCTTCCTTGATTTTTATTCTAATTACTATTGAAGATTCGGGTCCCCCCCCCCCTTAAAATAGAGTGAAAAAAAAACCCCTAAAAAGATCCAACTAACTCTAAGACATAACCTGCTATTATCTAAGATACTTGTTGACAGCTTTGAAAATAGACAAGACACTCTAACAAGCAGTTAGAGTGCAGTACTGCAGGCCACTTTAGCTGACTGTGTTCAGCAGGTCAGCGGTTCAAATCTCACCGGCTCAAGGTTGACTCAGCCTTCCATCCTTCTGGGGTAGGTAAAATGAGGACCCAGATTGTTGGGGGCAATGTAAATATATATATACATTGCTTACTGGTGTACACCGCTTAGAGGGTGCTTGCACTTAAAGCGGTATATAAGTCTCATAAATAAATAAATCTGCAAAATTCAGCTCAGCTCCCTATTTGGTGGACTTTCTGACTGTCAGTTTCTTTCTCTTGAGTTTAATATATTACAATGGAAGGCGAACAGGAAAGGATTTCTTCTACAGAGGAAGTACAGGAACAAATTCTTTGTATGTTAAAAGCGATGATCCAAACTCTACATATGCAAGCTCTGGATATACAAACTCAAACTATGACTTCAATCGAAGAATTTTATACAGAATTCTATAGAGAAAGTGAAACAACCAAATGTTATGACAGAAGACTTAGATACTCAACAAATACAGGCAATAGAAAACACAAAAAAGAAATTGATAATAGAGAACAAGGAAAGGGCAGTTTCTTATAAACCAGAAGGAATTTGAAGATAAACAAGAAAAACAGATGAAAGAGAAGATAAATACTTCGGGACAACTGCATGGAACTGGAAAAATAAAGAGACTACCAGCTAAATCAAGTCCTCTTAAGAAAACATCAACTGGACATTCTTATTAACATCAAACAATAGCCACAACAATACAAGGAGATTTTTTTGATGATTTAAAGGCAAAAATACGAAAAATGACCTGGCAGAGGAAAAAAGCTAGAATAAGATTGAAAAAGATTGGGGTTCTGATCTATATATGAGATCTAAAATAGAATATATCTAAATAGATAGAATGTGTATTCTGAACACAAGACATTGTAACGATTTGAAATAAAGAAAATTTTGGTCATATAAAATCTAGAAATATGTTGAAATAAGAATATTATTTTGTCATTAGATGGGTAAGATAGAGGGTAGAAGTTACATATAAGATGTGTATTTTAAATATTAGAATATATGAGCAATTGGGATAAAGGAATTGTGTTTAATTAAAATTTGGAAAAATTAAATATTAAATGTAATTTGAACGTCTACAAATAATTAAGATTTGAATTTAAGATACTGTTATGAGTTGAGACAGTAAAAGTATAAGTACTAATAATTAAATTTGTATATGGGTTTGTGGTATAAATGTTAGTGGTTTATTTTCAATTTTTTTTTCTCTTTCTGGAAAGGAAGAAAGGAAGGAAGCGAAGGGAAGAAAAAAAAATTAGCTCCAAATGTGAGATAGGAGATTTAGAAATTGGGATCATTTAAAACCTGGAAATGATAAAGATTAAACATTAAACTTAATATCAATGGCAAATTAAAGTTAAGAAAAACTTACTACATTATTGTCTAAAAGGTGGAACGTCAAATTAATTAAGATATGTATAGACTGAAGATTATTGATGAATATTAGAAAGATATTTTTTGTTTGATTAATAGAGTAAGAACTGTGTTGGTTTGAACATGACAGTAGATATCATGGGGGAAAGAGAGGGAATTAGTTTGTTGTAATAATTTGAGATTTGTACTGATGATATTCAAATGTAACAGAATTACTGTGCTCAGACGCCATGCTACTTTTCAAATATGTAAATGTAATATTGTAAAATTAATAAAAAACTTGAAACTGAAAAAAATAATACTCTCCAATTCATCTGTAATTTGCAATTCTCTTAAATCATGCCAGCATAGCTTTTTTTCATTTCCTACAAATGCAATACAAAGAGCATAACAATATTAATCATAGCCAAAATGTATCAGGGTGCTGCCAAGCATAATACAATGTTACATATAATTTTTTGTACATCTGATATGATCTCTTAACTTTTTACCTCCCTTCCTATGTTTAAAAGTACTCTGCCAAAAGCCATAGAAAAAGATACAAATAATAATACTACAATCACTTCTGAAATTGCTATAAAACTTGATTTTTTTTGAAAATCTGAATATTAATGAGATATTCATGAAAATGTGATACACATTACTTCGAGTGGAATTCAATTTCATAACTTCAACATAAATAAATTTGAAAAATACCATGCGATTTTAGCTTATCAAATTCCATGTGTGTGTGTATTAAATGACACATTCTGCATAACTTTTTAATGTTATTTTTATACTTTTATTAATTTCAAAGTCACCAAATTCTACCATAATGCAACTCTATCTAAATTTTCCTATATAAATTCATGTGGTAGTTGAAAGGAACCTTATTTTTTCTTTTCTCTTAAGGATCACAAATTAAGCCACAACATTAAGCAATTAACTGATAGCATATAAAATAGGAATAGATGGGGGGGGGGAACTTTTCACTGTCTGTGAGTTTGTATTCTTTGAAATACTGAGGCTTTCATTAGTCACACATTCCAAGCTTGCAGTCTGCAGGCTTCTGACTAAGGCTCCTGTGATTTATTTGAGGAGAAATACTCCGTCTACAATCTTATGACTGAACACAACAATCCCCAAGCTGAATGGAATGTAAGGAATGCAGAGTGCCTGTCAGGCTGAGGCAGCCAGGAAAGCACAAAGTTATCAAGTTGGCTTGGCTGAAATACTCCAATCACTTCCTCTAGTAAGGGATGAAAGGAATCCTCTCAGATTCTTCTTCAGGCCAATCGCAGTTTTGTGCCCAGGAAGGAAAATAATTTTTTTCTTTTCCAGAAAACAGTACAAAACGCTGCTGGCATGTGAAGAATGAAAGCATGCAGCAAACTATCTTTATGAAACCAGCTGTTGAGGTACAGCTTTCCCAGCAGCTGTTCTTAAGTTTCTTGGCCTGTGTCTGTATATGCATGTGCACACGCACACTCACACATCTTTCTTCTCTCAGAGTGGTAAGACTTAATTAACACATATGGAGCAAAGAGAAGTAGTATTTTAAAACATAGCTAAGCATTTTCTAGCAGCAGGAATAAGTAGAACTAATGCTGTGGATGAAAAGGGTGGACAGAAATTATGCTTTGTTGAATGATAAAATTAGGAGGCCTCCTGCAAGATATTTTGAAGGTTTTGGTTTTCAACCTAGCGTATAAGCCTGAACTAAAAGCAATTACAGTATAAGTCTGTATCAGAAAAACACAGCCACTCTTCAGTCTAATGTTTAAAGTAAAATGCAATGGAAGAATTATAAGGTTAGAGCCCTGCTACACTTAACTAAATTTTTATGTCAACATTTTTGTGTCCTCGTTCATTCATTATCATCCAACACAAGGAAACCGAATGTTTCCTACCTGTCTGAAAACAACATAATGTGCAACCTCAATTTTGGAAGGGAACTATATTTCAGGTCCATGCAACTAAAAACAAAGTGATTCATGCTGGATTGCCACTTTTGACAGAAAGAAAGAAAGAAAGAAAGAAAGAAAGAAAGAAAGAAAGAAAGAAAGAAAGAAAGAAAGAAAGAAAGATTTGAACAAGCTTTGAATACATTGCTTTCTGACTACCGTACTTTCTGGCGTATAAGACGACTTTCGCAAGCTTTAAAATTGGTGCTGAAGTTGGGGGTCATCTTATACGCCGAGTCGTTTTATACACCGGAAATAATGGTAGTTTCCGGTGTATAAGACGACTTTCTAGGCATGCGACTCGGCGCCTAAGCGGGGGTCATCTTATACGCCGGGTCACCTTATACACCGGAATATACGGTAGTTTAATGAGAGTAGCAGAAATGAAACAGATAAACTAGAAACTTACAGATGAGGACTGAACAATCGACTCATTTTAGGTATATGTTCCTTTTCACAGTCTAGATCATCATCTCCTTGGTCCATGCTGAACCTCCTTTTGCAAGGGCTGATTGGGGGTGGCCCAGTCCTGTGGTTGGTTGCAGCAGCAGATATGGGGAGAGACTGTATCCTGGGCTCTCCTCGTAGTGCAGCTTCACCTAGAGAAAAAGCAAAGATAGAATTAATGGAACAAAAAACAGGAACATAAAGAGGGCACCTTGTGAAGTCATCATCTTGCTTAAGGTGGTTTCTTTTTTTAAAAAAATGCTTTATATTTGTCAGTCTTTTAAAAGAATAGTTATATGCTAATTATTCATTTTTTTAATTAAAGCAAGATAATTATAAATCTATACAGGTAGTCCTTCAACTTACAACTAGTCATTTAGTGACTGTTTGAAGTTACAACAGCACTGAAAAAAAATGACGTATGACCATTTATCATACTTATGACTTACGTGGTCGCATGATTAAAATTCGGACGCTTGGCAACTTGCAAAATTATGACATTTGCAGTGTCCCGGGGTCACGTGATCCACTTTTGCAACCTTCTGACAAGCAAAGTCAATGGGGAAGCCAGATTCACTTAACACTTGTATTACTAACTTATCAACTGCAGTGATTCGCTTAACAACTGTGGCAAGAAAGATGACAAAATGGGGCAAAACTCACTTAACAACTGTCTTGCTTATCAATAGAAATTTTGAGCTCAGTTGTACTTGTAAGTTGAAGACTACCTGTAATTTGCTAACATTCAGTTTCTAAAATACACCTATTTTGGAAAAAACAGCAGAGATTATAATTATAAATACATTTTACAATTAGTATATTCATTTAAAACTGAAACAATCAATTACACGTAGTCCTCATTTAGTGATCAGAATTAGTACCGGCAACTCTGTCATTAAGCGTTAACCTCGTGACCATGACGGACTTACAACTTCACTTCCGCTGCAGTCATTAAGAGAGATATCACAGGAACACAATTTCACTGCTGGCTCTTCTTTGATTTTTCTTGTCATAAGCCAGCTGTGAAATATGCAAAGGGCAATCACGTGACTGCGTGATACTGACTGATCATAAATGCCCCCTATTTGCAAAGCACCTGAGTGTTGATCGTGTATCTGTGGGAATGTTCCAGCCGCTGTATGTGCAAGGACTGGTCATAAAATTACTTTTTCAGCACATCATAACTTTGAATGGTAATTAACTACCTTATTCTATTTTTAGTTTAAAATAGCAGAAAATCACTTTACTGATTTTCAGTAGCACATTTTGGCAAAGTGTTAAGAGGGGTTCTAGAAGCCTTTGGGAGACACAAGTTTTAGATTACTCACCCTGATTCTGTGACTAAATAACAGCATCATAACATTCCCACTTGGCAAGCTATGCCAAGAGATAATGGACTTGCTTGGGGACATGGGGATTGGAGGTAGGTTGGATTTTTCCTTCCTCCCTCCCTCCCTGCCCGATTCACACATAGGTGACTCTGGGAGGCTTACAACATTTATGAGTGTCACAACCAGTTCAATCCATTTAGCCTAATAAGCTAAAACCAACCAAACTATATTCTGGTGCAAAGGACAGCGCCATATATTGCAGCCTTTTTTCTTCTTTCATTATGTCCAAAATATAATTACCAAGAACTGGACCAGCAGCACATATATCTGAGCAAAAGCAATTCCACATTTTATATACTATTCAATGCACAGCTCACATATAAAAAGAGCCCTGTTTTAATAAGCTCAACAAACCCAATTTTGTTGTGAAAGAAACCACTCAGAACTAATCTCCACTATGTTTACCAGTAAAAATAAACATTTGCCAATTTAGCAAAAAAAGATATAAACTAGCAAATACACTGTGGGCTATAAACATGCCACAAGTAATGGCTTCTATTCAAGACTCTGGCACCAAAACTAAACAGTAACTTTCCACTTTCTACCTACATGTTAAAAGAAAAACGGTGGGCTCCATGGCAAACAAGTTTCCCATCTGAACATCCTGCTGTGTTCATACTCAAGTTATTATTAACTTTGATATTTCTCTCCCAGTTTCCTGTTTTATCCCATCCCATCCCAACGCCAAATGTTAATAAATGCTTGTCAGGCAACTACTTGTTACTATAAAGAAGGCAAAATAATTTAGAAAAAAGTGTAATGTGTTTTCTTGGATTCTACCATTTATATCAAGAGTTGACTATGTTGCAACTCATATATGTGATGTCTGCAACACAGCCAAGTGGTATCCACAAGTCCTAAAAAGTCTTTAAAAGCTGTCAAAATCTCACAAAATATCTTTGAGATATTCAAAAACAGTACTCCTGCTGCTGAATGCTATAAGAGCAATATATGATAGCATGCATATCAATAAATGGAACCTTATTAGATAGTTCAACACTTACCAGAGAGTATGATATGGATGGACAGTTAGAGATAACTATAAGATATTTATTTAATGTATTTATTTATATCCTGTCTTTATTATTTTTACGAACTCAAGGAGGCAAACTTATCCAACACATCTTCCTAGTCCTTTTTTTTCTCACAAAACAAACCCGTGAGGCAGGTTGGGCTGAGAGAGAGTGACTGGAGGCCTGAAGTGACATAAGCGGTAGGTGGTTTTGGAAAGGAATATATGTGCACTTTTGTAAACAGATTTTTGCATCATGTTTTTGGCTAAGAAGCCAAATGATCTGCAATAGACTGTCTGAAGCAATAAAGAAGCTGGATTTTAAAATTAAGAGAATTCTAGGAATCAATCCACACCTCTTAAACTGCCAAGCTTGGAAAAAAAAACAGTCCTAGATTATATATGCTTTTAAATAAAGAGCCATACCCCAGTTTTCCTAATTTACTACGAGATTTGTTTATGGCACAGAGAGTATTTATCCTCAGAATACTTCTCTTTGTTTCATCAAGCAACTGGGCAGGGACACAGACTATCGTATATGCCGGCGTATAAGGCGACTTCTGCAAGCGTTCAAATCGGCGCCAAAGACGGGGGTCGTCTTATACGCCGAGTCGTCTTATACGCCGGAAATACTGATAGTTTCCGGCGTATAAGACGACGTTCTAGGAATGTGGCTCGGCGACAAAGACGGGAGTCGTCTTATACGACGGGTCGCCTTGTACGCCGGCATATACAGTATCTCTCGAATACCTGTGCTTATAGCTCTTACTCATCAACTTCCCTCACAAAGATTTGGAATGTTAGATAATATGATGAAATACAAACAAAACACAAAAGATAATGTAATGTATTGTTTGTCTATCATAATATTACATCAGTGCAACCGTATAACTACAAATACACAGAACACAAAGCTCCACAATTTAGATTTAATCATTTCTAAGAAGCAGAGTTAAACTTCTCCATCTATTTGACAATACAGATCTACCTATTTGCTCAGGATTTTATGAATATACTTAACTGCTAGTCTGTAAGTGCTTGAGAGGTCTTTTTCTCTTTCACACATTAAAGTGCATCCACATTTGTATTTTCCCCCTTAATGCAATCAATACTTTCTTTTCTTGAACCACAATTTATAGTAACATACTCTAAAAAGGCAGTTGAAAAACCTTTAAATGTTGTCACAATTGCTTTCTGTATTTAAAAGGTGCTTTCAGATGAGATTTTTATTCTACAAACCTCTGTGCCTAACTCATGAAATTTTACTGGTGATCCAGAAGGCTATTATCTTCCATTTATAATGCTCTCAATTTTTTTTTAATCTCCTCTTACCAGAAAATCAAACTTCATTAAGGGCAAAATGTTAAATACTGAACTCGCATAATGTTAAATGTTAGCAGCTATCAATGTAGCAGCAAGAGTACTGCATTGTTTTATACAAAAATTCTTTCAACAAAACGTGTTGGCAGGAATGAAGTGTATCTCCTTAAGGCACAGGTTGGCAACCTGTGGCTCCGGAGCTGCATATGGCTCTTTGAGCCTTCCCCTGCGATTCCCAGCCTCCTCTGCCATTTGCAGAGAGAGACAGAGACAGAGAGAGGCACTTGCACTTCCCTTCTCTCTCTCTCTCTCTCTCTCTCTCTCTCTCTCTCTCTCTCTCTCTCTCTGTGCATCTGTGTCTGTAAAAAAGAGAGTGGACTCGCCATGTTCTCCGACAAGCTGAAAAGCTTACTGGGCGGGACTCCTCCCTTTGCTGCGTCTCTGCAGGAAGCAGGAAACAGGAAGCAGGGAGGGCAGGAGAGAGCTAGCTAGCCCAGCTATGCTGACTCAGGAATTCTGGGAGTTGAAGTCCATGAGTCATAAAAGAGCCAAGGTTGCTTACTCCTGAGCTTGTTGGAGAACAGCTTGAAGCCAGCTTGCCAGGTGAGAAGAAGATCAGAGAGAAGGAGAGAGGGAGGGAGGGAGGGAGAGAGAGAGAGGGAGAGAAAGAGAGAGGAGGAGACAGAGAGACCCTTTTGACATCTAAAATGAAGATAACATTGCATATATTTTTTACCTTTATGATTATATGTGTGTGTGTGTGTGTGTGTGTGTGTGTGTGCGCGCCTTTTAAAATGCTAAAAATGTGAATCCAGGGCATTATGTTAGCCAAATAAGAAAGAAAAAATGAACACCAGGATATAATAAACCAGACTGTTTAATATAAACAAGCCTGTGGTTAAAAAGAGTCATTAAGCTTTCGTCAGGCCAAACCGTCGACGTCATCAGAGTTGGAGTAAAAGGAGATCAGGAAGGCAGCTCATATAACCTGCCTCTGCGCCCAGCTTCTTGAGCGCGTCATCGGCCCGTTGATTGTATTAATCCGTACCATGCAGAGTTGTTCAGCATCAGGTACTGTCCTTGGCTCCGCTAGTTGACAGCCGCTCTCCAAGTGCTTGCACACACTCTAAAAGAGCACTTGAGGATCATAAAACAACTAGCGGAGCCAAGGATATATGCAGTTTTATCTTCATTTTAGATATCAAAAGGGTTTTGCGGCTCCCAGTATTTTGTTTTCGGCGGTAAACGGGTCCAAGTGGCTCTTTGAGTGTTTTGGGTTGCCTACCCCTGTCTTAAAGCATTAAAGCAGTTGCATCTTCCAGAGATTTTACAGGCTATGTCAAAGGCATTCCCGATTATCCAACTGTACATCTACATGTACAGAACACTTCCAGGAACCACTGAGGGCATTGCATTGAGCCTTCCAGTG